AGAATGCAAGTCAACAGTCTGGGATGATCAACAGAAGCTGGTCACCAAAAAAACAAAAAAAAAAACAAGAAGAAAAAAGAGAAAAAAAGAAAAAAAGAAAAAGAACCCAAATTACGGAAGTGGAGAACAAATGTGGTNTCACAACGCGTGAGCTCATTTTTCTGGGTAGAGACTATACAAATACACGGACTAACACATTTGACAGGGGGGACTTTGAAAATTTTGGCAAAAAATACTGTTCATCTTCTTCTTTGAGAAGAAGAAGCAAAAACCCCAAACCATCGTGAAAAAAAAAAGAACCACCCCCCCTCCCCCCAACCTTAGCGCCGTTTGACACCATTTCCACATTTCGCTCTCAACAGAGAAACAAAAAATACATACAAATTTCACCTTTCCTTAGATCTGTACACACATACTGAACTACATATTTGTCCATTTAGACTCACGCGTAGAGGGATCCATAGAAAGGATGTGAAGTTGACTCCGGCAAATGAATCTCAAAAGCGAAGCGTTTCAACTTGAGATCTAAAAAAGAGAAAGCCGAGGAGCACAAAAATTTGTTAAAAAAAAATGACTTCGAAGAGCTATTGAGTTTGGTTGATTTGGCTATACAGTAGCCGGGTTTTCAAAGTTGCATCGAGTTTTTGGAGGGCTATTTTATCGCTGACTACTTGCTTGGACTGCAGCTGGGTTTCTTCCTCTTTCATCACTATATTGCTACTTGTTTTATTCCCTAAGAGATCGATAGACAGCTTTGTAGTATATAAATGATGGATCTGCTATTAGTTCTGTAAATGGCTTAGTACAGGTACGTACGTGTGGCTTCAATTTTCTCTTCCTTTTCTTTTCTTTGTTATCTTTTGCAACCTCATTTCCATTGTCTTTTCCCCCAATCTTTATATAGTTTTGTATGGTATTTGTTTGAAATATTAAATGAAAATAAAAAAAGAGCTCGTGAATTAGGAGATTTCAAGAGTTACCAAATTAGAAATGGAATTGGAAAGCAGCATATCTTTAAATATATATATGTATAATGTACCCGTCCTTTACCTTTATTACTTATCCATTAGCACTTGGATTTTATGCTTGGAATTGGGATATTATCATTTTATGAAACAGTATAATTTCAACTACCATCAATTGTTAATTTTCTCTATAAAAGAACGTTGTTTCACTTCAAATAGGCATCTGACAACAAGCTTATTGTAAGAGCTTGAGTTCTGCTATGAAGATTGTTGAGGATTATGAAAAATTGAAGGTGTTGTTTGGAGAAATAAGTGAAGATTTGGCATATATAAATCCGCTTGTTATCAAATGCACATGTACAATTTTTTTTTTTTAATTAATTATGTTATCAAAATAATGACATGGTATAGTCTACTGGTTCAGTTCTTCTTTTATGAGTAATTTAATAAAGTCCATGTGATTAGCAATAGATCTGACATGAAGTTAAAGATGACTTGTTAATAATCCTAATAGTTGCATCTCACGCCTCTTCCACNCTGCGCCCTTCGGGTGCGGAAAAAGGAGGTGCGACAACACTCACAAATATGGGCTAATGTCATTTAAGGCTGACATCATTGTCAGCAGGGCATAAAATGGAGCATAGGCAATGGCTCATATATTAAGTTTTGGGAAGACCCTTGGATTGGACCAGACACAACAATTAGATCACAAATATATGGTCCTTTACCACTACGCCAACAGAATATTAATGTGGCTTCTTTTATTAATAATAATGAATGGAATTTGGATAAAATATCTTTTGATTTACCGATTAACATTATTAGAATAATTCAAGCAATCTACATTTCTAAAGGCAGTAACAAAATTGACAATATTTTCTGGAGGTTAACTTCTATGGGAAAGTTCACTACAAAATCCATGTACAATAGCTTGGATACCAATCAGGATATGTGTTTTAATAATTCAATAAAGTATAGCTGGATATGAACACTTCCAATCATACCAAAAATTAAAGGGTTTCTTTGGATTCTCCAAAGAAGATGATTACCTACCAAAGCATACCTTAAACATATTAACTTGATTCAAGATGCTACTTGTCAATTTTGCCATCAATAGGATGAAACAATCGCCCACTTATTTCTAGAATGTGCAAACGTAAGAGCTTTTTGGAATGAGTTGGGTATTTGAAACTACATTAACTCTAAATGCGATATACCAATAATAGTAACTGGGTGCATGATCTCATACATTGCAAGGAGTTGCATTTTCCTTATCATATTAACCCAAAAACATACTTGCCTTTTTGCTTATGGAATATTTGGTTAGCACGCAATAACAACTGTTACAATCATAATCCATCACCTGCTTCGACGAAATTAACTACACAACAAGCAGCCTAATACACTTATCTTGTAGCCAAGAAGCATACATGTATTAAAAAGAGGCAACAAAATCAAAAATGGAAACCTCCAAAATAGTTTTACTTCAAACTTAACACTGATGGAGCACATACAATGAATAAAGTTGGGATAGGAGGGCTTATACGAAATTCTAAGGCTAAATGGATATTGGAATTTTCAGGGGCAGTCCCAAGAGATTCAATAATTTCTTTTGAATTACGTGCATTGTTGCAGGGACTGCAATTAGCTTATTCAAATAACCTTATTCCACTGGAGGTGGAAGTGGACTCTCAAGATCTTATAACAACTCTTTACTCAAACAATGTCTCACATAATAATTTGGCTACTGATTGCAGGTACTTCCTGGACAGGTTAGGTAAACCTGTAGTACTGCATGCGTACAGAGAACAGAATACGATTGCAGATAAATTAGCAAAGGTAGGCTGCAATTTTGCAAACTACTCAACAGTGCATGTTTTGAATATTAGCCCAGACTATGCTTGCAGAGTTTTTGAACATGATAAGAGTGCAGTTCTGGAATAAAATGAGAGTGCAGTGCAAGAACTTGTTTTGAAACACTATAAGCCTCACTCTGAAAACCTTAATATTGTAAATAGGTATTGTAATAGTAGCTTGACGGATAGTAGTATTGGTATTAGCTTTTATAATCCTTTAGCACCAACAGTTGGTGCAATATCATGTAACGAGCTGCAAGATATGTAGTCATTCTCTGTACGCAATGTTTAATATTTATACATATCTATCCTTTAAACCAAAAAAAAAAAAAAAAGTACACCATTGTACAAAGAGAATGAGATATGTCTTAAGGACATAAAAAAATCACATATCCATTTCCATTCATATATCTGATAACAGTGAGAAATTCAAGGATTTGGAGGAATTCAAACTTATGATATTCTATAGCATTTTCAACGTTTCAAGACCCAGGATTTCAGAGCACTAATTAACGTGAGATTTTGCAATATTAAGGGAGTATGGTATAATTTTTCTTAAAGAATTGACTCAGGTATGTTAAGGCTAATCCTTTTTTCTTTTGGCATGATCCAAGTAACGATACATAAATATGATGATATTCCATAAGTAGTGCTATTCTTAGCAGTTAAGAATGTCTATATTATTCATATCCGATTTTGATGTGATATCGTAAACATATGTAGAACAAACCAATGTTCCTGAAACATGTATAATATTTTGAATACCAATTTAGTGATTGCACCTTTATATGGTCTTTTACTTGCTTTTGTATCAAGTTAATCTAATCTCTTTTGAAATTAGTTAGATGTGATATGATAATAGCCCTATTTTTCTCTGCCTTTCAAGTTAAATTAAAAGGTTGATCGATTAAATACTTCACAGACTTGCCGTTTCAGTCCAAAGCTATTGTTGATTTTGTTGTCGAGAAGTCTAGGATCGTATTCTACGAGAAATGTGAGCTGAAATTTAAGAGCTACATTTATCTTATGCTTTGGGTAGTTTAGAGATACCACAGCAGTTATATATTTACCACTGTGCTACAACCGGTTGAGCATTCATGCATATTCATTTACCACTGTGCTACGACCGGTTGAGCATTCATGCATATTCATTTACCACCGTGCTACGACCGGTTGAGCATTCATGCATATTCATTTACCACCGTGCTACGACCGGTTGGGCAGTTATGAATAATTATTTACCACCGGTTGGGAAGTTATATATTTACCACCGGTTGGGCAGTTATATATTTACCACCGTACGACGGGTGGTCGGGCAGTTACCACTGATCAGTTGGGCAGTTAATGCCATGAGAATGATGTAATCAGAATTACTATACCGTAGTTTTAATTTATATATATGAATGGGTTTTATTCTACATGTTACGGCCCTCAGCGGCAAGTCAGAAGTCATAAGTTGACTCTTATCTCTCCCCGAGATAGTATCATATTATTATTACATTTCATTTCTACCTTACATACTCGGTACATTCTTCGTACTGACGTACCTTTTCCTGGGACGTTGTGTTTCATGCCACGGAGGTGTAGATAGGCGAGGTGAGGACCATCCACTGTAGGCTTCCTCCAGATATCAGTTTTTGGTTGGTGAGATCCACATCTTCCTAGAGTATTGCCCAGTCACGTTCTATATATGTTACTTTGTTTTATGAAGATGTCGGGACCCTGTCCCGACTTATATATTATGATCATGTTTTCTTAGAGGTTTTGCAGACAGTGTCTTGTGTATAGTTTTAGGTATGACATGACAACGGGCTTGTCGGCCCCTATGTATCTATATAAATCTTTTTTTTGGATTAGTTATATAAGTTAAGTTCTAATATTGTCGATTATATATATAGAGATGTGGCCTATCATGGCCTAAGACGAGTCTTATAGAAAACAAAATACGTGGCGCTTGGTTGAGTAGGCACTGGGTGCCAGTCGTGGCCCTCTAATTTGGGTCGTGATAAAAGTGGTATCAGAGCAGTTCTGTCCTAGGGTTTTCTGCAAGTCGTGTCTATTAGAGTCCTGTTTATAAATGTGTTGTGTACAATAAACAGGAAACTACAAGGCATTTAGGGACCAGTTACCCTTCCTTCTTGATATTAGATCGTGCAATAGAGCAGAGTCGTAGGGAATAAAGCCCTTGACTTATGACTTGTTTTATATATACAACGATGCTTATGACCAGGAAAGCTACAGCTAGTTAAAAGGGTAAAACAATGGCAGATGAGGGCATGAGTAGAACACCAATGTCTATTAAGGGCCAGAGTGAGACCTCCGAAGGGAAGTGTGACACCCTCGCATAGTTTTTCGATTTTGCCAGCACCCTAGGAGATGCGGGGGAACCCAGTACCTCCACCTGTTGCTCATGATGAGGATGTGGATATGCAGAGTGCAGTACGGTTGTTGACTAGATTGGTAGCCGCTCAGGCTTAGCGCCAGGTAGGTATAGGTGTTGGTTACATTGACAGGGCTATTAGCGTGAGAGTTCGAGACTTCATCAACCTGGTTCCTCTAGTGTTTATTGGATCCAACAAGGATGAGGACCCGCAAAACTTTATTGATAGGATGTATAGGACTTTGAGGGTGATGCATGCATCAGACACTGAGTCAGTAGAGTTGGCCTCTTACCGATTGCGGGATGTTGCAGTTCAGTGGTATGAAACTTGGGAATTGTCTAGAGGGACAAATGCATCTCCAGGGGTATGAGAAGAGTTCTCATGGGCTTTTTTGCGTCATTACTTGCTAGAAGAGATTCGTCAAGCGAGGGTAGACAGGTTCTTGGCTCTCAAACTCAAACTGGGGAATATGAGTCTGCGGGAGTATAGTCTCCAGTTTGATTCCTTGGCGAGGTATGCCCCCTCAATTCTGGCTGAAATGAGTGACCGAGTGCATCGGTTTGTGGTAGGACTTGGGCCGCACCTGATTAATGAATTCTCCAGGCCGCTCTGCTCGATGGTATGAATATTTCTTGCATCCAAGCTTATGCTTAGAATTTTGAGGATCGGAAACGACAACAATATGAGAATCGTGATGAGGGTCAACGTAAGAAGGCCAGGTCTGCTAGGCAACCTGAGGATTTTCCGGGCGATCCTATGTCACCAAATCCTATTGGAAGTGTCCGAAAGTTGCAGAAGCCGTATTATGAGGGATCTGTCTTTTCTGAATCAGGTCAGGGCTCGAGAATTTTGGGTTTTTAGAATCGGAGGGATTCAGCGCAGATGAGGGCGCCTCCTCCGCGGTGCAGTCAATATGATAGAGCTCATTCTAGACAATGTCGTCAGGGATCTAATGTATGTTATACATGTGGAGACCCTAGTCATTATATGAGAGATTGTCCTATGAATGACATAAGCGGAATGGTTCAACTATATCTATAACAGTCTCTTCCTCTTCAGTACGCCCTTAAGAGCGAGGTCCTCAGTCATCAGCTGGTAGAGGTAGAGGCAGGGGTCGAGCATCTAGCTCCGGCGGTAGTCAGAACCGCATATATGCTTTGGCAGGTCGTCAGGACCCAGAGGCTACACCAGATGACATGTCGGGTATTGTGACTATGGGTAATGTTCGATCTCATTAACGCAAATTGTTTAGTTAATATGATTAGTATAAGAGTAAGTTGGTATTACGTCTCAAGGGCTAAAGGAAACCAAGGCTAGCTTGAAAGCAAAGTATAAACTCAGTTATTAAGATTACAACTAGTATGTGTCAGCTCCCAGAAGATAGATTAACAGAATCGTAGGTGACGAATGGATTAGGAAGTATTTTTAGGGTGGGACGACATCCTGACCCCGTGAGAGCCTGGTAATCGTTTCATTGGAGTATAGCCCGGGAATATATATACATTTATAATTCATGAGTATGTATGTACATCTTGCAAGTTTAAACATTCAAGGACGAATGTTCTAAAGGGGGGAAGGATGTTACATCCTGTACTTTAATATTAGGATAAGTTGTAGTAACCCATATGAGCTTGAAGAGATTAAGACTATTCATGAGGTTATAAAGGATTTGTGATTATGTCATTATAAGGCCCCGTAAATTTAACAACCTTGATACCGTTATATATATATAATGATATGTAATTTTTAGTGGAATATTTTTGAAAAACAGTTTGCAAAAAAAATTATATAGTTATTGATATTACTACTTTCAATTATACACATAATATGAGAAAGCTTATGAGAATTTCTTTATTGTAAAGATAGAAATTATTTTCTCACAAGAAAAGAATGTTACCTTTTTACCATTTTAAGGATTAAGCATACAAATATTTTTACTCTTTATATGAGATTAGAAAAAAAATAGAATTTGAAATATATATATATATATATATAGTATATGTTGTCACGACCCCAAATACCAGTCGTGATGGTGCCTATCACATTACTAGGCAAGCCAACTAATCAGTAACCACAACCCTCTTTCTAATAATATTAAGCCATTTTCTAACGCAAGTTTTAGGTACCAAATTCATTATAAGCGTTAAGGCAACAAAAGATATGCGGAAAGTCAAAATAACAATACAACTACACAACCCCAACATGATCTGGTGTCATAAGTCTAGAGCCTCTAATATAAGTCTGAATACCTACTACATCAATAATCTAGAAAAATACGGAAAAATAATAAGATAGGAGGGAGAGAACATTGCCGCGGATGTCATGCAGCTACCTCGAAGTCTTCGTCAAATACTGAAACCGTTGAAAGCCCTCACTCGGCTGCCCGGGCACCTGGATCTGCACACAAGGTGTAGGGAGTAACGTGAGTACGCCAACTCAGTAAGTAACAAGAGTAAATAAGGACTGAAAGCAGTGACGAGCAGTTCAAAAATACATAACTGGATAATCAACTGAATATCAAGTCATTTTTACAGTTTAAAATCAGTTTTTGTTATAAAATCACATTTCCAGTTTAAACATTTGGAATCAAATACTTAGCGGTATATCAAATAGAGGCTTATTTAAAAGAAAAGTAAAATCGGTGAAAACATCATAACAAGGCCTCTCGGGCAAGGAATCACTCAGAATATGGCCCCTCGGGCAGCCTCTATGTCACTCATGACTCGACTCTCGTCACATAGTACCCACTCTCAGCACTCTCATTAGTATCTCATAATAATAGAAATCATAGTAATTGCTGCGACGTGTAGCCTGATCCATATATAATAGTCGACTACGCTCACTGGGGGTGTGTAGACTCCGGAGGGGCTTCTACAGCCCAAGCGTCATATCGTTGCGGCGTGCAGCCCGATCCAATATAT